GTGAGAGTAAGTGATAAGTTGTTCAGGTGCATGATTGCTGCGGGGTATCTGCATGATAGTACGGTAGGTGCCAGCAACCTTCTTCAAAACGTTTCAAAACTATCTTTAATGATTTAATGAACGCATTTGGATTTCTGCGAAGACCCTTGTAATCTGGAAACTTCCACGAATTTAGGATGTACGTCGTAGTGTTTCCTGTTTCTGGGTCTTGCCAAAGCTGTGCCTCACTATGGTCGTCAACTCAGATGAGCTCAGAAGGTTACAATCCCACAGCATTGCGTGTATTGACGTGTATTGCATACCGCGGTTTGCAGTCACAACAAAAACTTGTGTGACCGTGCTCCTGATCCCACCTCGTTTGAGTAAAAATGGGGCAGTGCAAGCACAATTGCTGAAAGGCTTGAGTCATGCACGGTCGTGCATTCTCTCAGGTTCAGAGTTTGATGTGGGATGCATCTTGAAGTCAGGAGTAGGGGCTGTAATAGCAACTGGCTCACAGTAGTTGAGGATGGTTCAGAATAGCTACAGAGGCTATTCATAGAAACTTTGCACTCCCACTCATGTACCGGATGGCACATGCAGCATGCATTCTACTGTACCTCTTGCAAAGAGATGCAAACAGTTCTGCTCGCGAGTCCATCTTGAGTTTCACTCGCTGATAGCTGAGCTGTGATAGCCTAGACTGCCTCTTACATTGTGGCAGCCTCATCCAATGCATATCACATCATGTCACCAGGATGCGAGGACTCGGAGAGGACGTTCTTAGGACTCTACGCCAGAAGCCCTTTCTTGTCGAAATTGATCTTGAACCATTGTGTCTCTGGACCTTAAGAAATAGAATTGCAAAAGATCTCGGAATCAAAATTGCGGCCAGAATAAGAATAAGGCTGGGACCAAGGATAGACACTCGCAGTGACGATGGCGATATGTTCACAATTCTGAGCAACTGAGTGTGCTCCTCACAAGCCAAAATATGGAGCAATGATGAGCAATGCATCGCATTTTTCCCCCCCAAATCTGCCCAGGCGCGCATCAGAAGTATTGGTTCTGGTGTGTCTGGTTCTAACACTTCTACTGCGCCACTTAGACAGCTAGGCTCTGCCTTGTGAACTTGGAAACCACCAAAGTGCAGGATGTGAGGCCTCCCAATCGCATACTTCAGAATGTTGCGGAAAACGGGATGTGAGGTTGTGCCACCTAACCAAGACTGTATCGTTTTCACATGCATCTACCTGTGAAAATGTCAAACATGTCCGTTTGATGGAGCTTGGACGGCATTTTAAACTATGAAATCATATAGTACTCGCCTGGTCTCAATCACCTCATTTCGATGGAGCTTCTCAAAGGTCTCCTTCTCCAGGATAGGATGCCTTTCTTTTGGAATTCAAAGGGTTTCAATTGATTTCAGATGAAAGTCGGGGTTTGAACAGCTTGTGGGATGGAGCGGTTGGGGGAGTGCAGCCGCCCAAGCTGTATTGAGCTATTTTGTTGCCCCTTTTCGTTCTGTGAGGGATAAAGAAAGAAATTAACAAATGCATCGCCCCTCTCGATGTCGGTATCTATCTATCTATCTGTCTGTCTGTCTATCTATCTATCTACCTACCTATCTACTTATCCACCTGGGTGGGTTAGAAGTGGTGCTTCGTACGTTTCTGTTTCGGCCCTGCCCGGGGCAAACGCGAAAACTCGAAAAGTAGCAGCGCGGATTCAATGGCAAAACCCGAAAAGTATAGAAAAGTGTTGAAAAGTGGAGAACTGGCCACTGTTCTCGAGTCGAAAAGTACTCACTTTTCTCGAAAAGTCGATCATTGTCATGGGATTCTGGGGTGGTGCATCTCTGAGCCACTTCACGCGATAAACTGACACACTGTACAGCAAATCAATAGTTTCCATTTGGATTGTGGACGCATTTTCTGAAATCCGCCCAAAGGTAGGAACCTCAAGGGTTACATGGCAGTCCCCAAAGTAGTAACCATTAGTAACCTCAAGGTTTTACAACGCAGTTGGGCAAAACAAACAAATAAAACAGTGATGGCAGTCGAGAGTTGGACTCTATCTAGTCTATATTACATTCTCTGGTCGCCGACCGATTTTTAGAAAAAACAAAAAATACCGAGCACCTGCCGTATCTTCAGTTTTCCCCAAAAGGGTTAACAACAAAAAAAATATGTTTTTATCGTTAAATTCGTTAACTTTGGCCATTTCCAGGGTTTTCTATAATTCTGTCGGTGACTTTCTCTTGTTTCTATAATTCATATTGCCCCTGTATTTTGGATAATCCCTACCAAATTTCCTCCGAATACCATAGTTTCTGATACCCCCTTTGTGATCCAGGTTGGAATTAGCCGGCTGACGTTGGACCCCCAATTTGTAGACTACAATCCTGCGGCCTTACGGTGGACTTACTACATATTTTGGGGCCTGAGGTTTTTTTTGTTTATTACAATCTGCTAAATCACCGAAAAAGTTGTCTACTACAAGTTGCCTAAATCTTCATTTAAAAAACCTTTAAAACTCAACATAAAATCTTGGGACAGTGACTTTACATCCCAATATTCAACATCTAACATAATCAACCATTTTTTCCGATGGCAACTTGTAGCGCTGGTTTTGCTCATTCGTTCTTGGTCGAAGGAACCCCGCTCCTACAATTTTGTAGCCCCTAAAAAGTTGCCACTAAGAAAAACAGCACAAGGTAGCGCATATTGTGACCATGATGCATCCTCAAGAATGTACATGAATGTACATGGATCAATCTCCACGCAATCTCACGGGTCAATCTCCCAAGCATATTTTTGAGGGGTGGAACACCTTTTGGTCTCAATCCCCTCCAGGCACCAACTCCAGTAGAAAAGAAAAAACACCAACAGGCAACAAAAGAACCCTAAGAAAAAGAAAAGCACTTCAGGGATGAAAGTTGTATCAAATTATGTACTTGCTCTAAGAAACATGCAGCAAGAGAAACAGCAAACAGCAAACCCTCCCAAAACAAACCAACATGAAAGACAACTGCTACAAAGTGGATGGGTACGAGTCGAATCACTACAGAAAACATTGCAGCAGAATCCAGTCTGTCTCCAAATTTGTGCTGACAACGGCGGTTGATAAATGAACACGTCAGTAAACACATACAGCAAGAGCCAGCCCAAGGCAGGAAAGTACTTGTTGAAAAAAGGCAGCAAAATGCAGCAAAATGAAAGCTGTATCAAGTGATGTACTTGCTCTAAGAAAAATGCGGCAACCCTTTCAAAACAAACCAACATGAAAAAACTGCTACAAAGTGGATGGGTACAAGTCGAATCACTACAAAAAAACGTTGCATCTGTGCGCAAGTTTTTGTTGACAACCAACGCTGATAACCGCTTCAAGTTACTGAGTAAATTTCCCGATTGTACGCTGTAGATGTTGACCCTTTTTGTAGCTCAAATATCCAACCTGATGCTATTGTATTGTGCGCTGCGTTGATTTTGTTCAATTCCGAGTGAAACGACGGGTTCACTACAAATTGGTCATGAAAACATACGAAGTCTCACGTTGCTTCATGTGATAGAACCATGAAAGCCACTACAAGTTACCATTGTAAATTTACATGTTTTTTTTGGAAAAAAAAAACGCTCGTACAAAATCGATCAAAAATCCATACTACAAACTGTTCTTTCATTTTTTTTTCGGATCTCACTGGCTTACAAAACTCGACTGCTACGATTTGCTTCTGCACAACATCACAGAGGACTATAAAAACATAGGTTTCCAGAGGGTTTATAGTGGGCCCCAAGGCCTAGCATTCTGTAGTGGAAATTCTGACCGGGATATTTTTTGTTTATAATTATTTGGGGACATCATCCAAAAATTTCCGAAAACAGTTAATTAAATTGTAGAAAATGATGATTCCCCTGATTATCGCCCCGATTTCGCAGCCGCAACTGTGTTCCCACCCTTCTCTTCCGCAATGTATGTCATGTGTGTATGTATGCATGCATGCATGCATGTAGTGAGACCGCCTGTACTTCATTTGGTAGTATTTGGTACATTGTGGATTCCCCCCACTGCGGCACCAGATTGCTTTTGTAACACACCCTGGCACTGATCACTCATCATAGCCGCCGACACGACACAATTATAGAAAAATACATAATTATAGAGAAAGAGGTGATTATAAAAAACATATAACGCATCCGATGTTTTTTTCCGTCAGCTGCGGTATTTTTCTACTTTTTCTTTTCTAGAATTCAGCCGGCGACTGTCTTACTATCTCTATCGGCATCTCTCCGTCTCAGTCATTCTCAGTCTCAATCTCTACCTACCTATCTAACTACCTATCATTACCTATCTGCCTACCTAATCCTAGCTAACCCATCCCCGTTCAGATTACTGTAGGGGGGGAGGGGTCGCACCCGGCTTCTTGTAAGCATAAACCAGTGGGATTTTGAAAAACCTTATAAAAAGAATCGGGTTTTGGGAATTTTGGCCCTTACAAAAAACATAGGTTTTTAGCACCCACATTCGACTTTAAAATCCGATATCATTTTGTAAGGTGACAACTTTCTTCATGATATGAATGTTGCATCCCACCCGATGACCTTTTTATAAGAAGTTGTGATTTCAGATAGCGTAGTTTTTTCGGGCATCATTTTGTAAGGCGACAACTTCTGGTTCCCTGTTTCTGTTTTTTCCGGACTCGTTGATTTTCAAGCAGCCTTTTTGCAAGGATTCCTTTTCTTTGCCACCTTTTTATGTTGTTTTATGCTTTTGTATCCCCGTTGAAATAAACAGGGGGTACTTGGAACAACCATTTTACACTGTAGAATGGGAAAAGCCTGTAGCATGGCTATTGTTTGACAAAAAAATACTGTAGAATGGTTATACCAGAGTTGCTGTAAAATGGTTAGCTCAAACCTTAAACCATAAAATGCAAAATCGTTCCCCACTGACTGTAAAATGGATATACCAACATTTGAAAAATCAAGTGGAATATCCCAAACTTAACATCTTGTTTTTTTTTGGGCCAACCCTGCCCTTCTTTAAAATTGTAAATCAGGTCTTCTAATGATATGCTCTGTAAAATGGAAATTCCATGAAATTCCAATCCAAGATATTCCAAGATCATCCAAGATCAATTTCAATCCTTCTTTCCCGCATTGGAGCTCAGCGTTGCATAGCTTGACTATGCTTGCTCAAAGTCCGAGACTTTGTCTCCATTTGTCTAAAGACTAAAAGCATCTAATTATTAGATTATATCTAATTGTTCCTATGCATCGCTAAAGTATGCTAAAGTATGAGTATGCCCACTTGGAAACAGGGCAAATTCGCCAAGCAAATGCAAGCAAATGAATGCAAATTAGAAGCGCTGGAAATCAATGAAAATCTATGAAAACCTATCAACATATGTAGGTTTTTCATGGTTTTTCCGTCTTAAACCCACATGTGCTGACCCCACAAATGTGGGAAAAGCCCGGCGGTGGCTCTTCCTTCTTTCTGCGCGGCATCTCTACACACAGCTCTTTACACAGCTTTCAGCCAATAAGTTAGAGGCGGCGAGAGGGTTAGTTGTTTCACCCTAAAAAATGGATAAAGGGTGAAACAACTAACCCTCTTGCCGCCTCTAACTTATTGGCTGCGAGCTGTGTAAAGAGCATTTTAGAGGGATTTTAGAGTTTATCTATAATCCCTATAAAATGGATACACACCTCAAAACCATGTATAAATAAATCCTATAAAATGTTTAAATATGCCAACATCACACCAAAAACCTGCAAAACCGACTGTAGAATGGAGAACCGGGTTCTATCCAATAGAATGGCTATACCAGGTTCCATGATATTCTGCCCAACCCAACACCTCTGTAAAGTGGATATTCCAAACTGGGAAAAACCCAACAAAGGAACTGTATATAGAATGGATCTTCCAGGTCTAGCAGTTCCCAAAACATGCTCAAAATTAGCCTCTTGTAAAATGCATACCCCCAGGTTCATTTTACAGCAAAAGCTGAAAAAACATTTCCAGCCTGCATTTTGGTTTTTATTAAGGTCCCAGGTCCCCCCATTTTACAGGGTGTATTTCAACAGGGATGCTTTTGTATTTTTGCTTCTATGGCCTCATTGCCTACCAGAAGTCTCGCGTTTGTGCTATCAGATGATTGAGGCGAATCAAAAAACATGCACAGGTCTGAACAATAATTTGTATCAATGCCGAAAAAAACATATATATTCTTACAAAATTGTTTTTTCTTACTCTTGACGACATCTCCTTACAAAATGTCATTGCACACCCTGATGAGGATTTATTTAGTTTTTGATGTTCAATAACAGCATCTTGCTTACAAAAAACCTCAAAAAAAACACAAACTCGATGGTCTTATAAAATGAGTTGGCCCCTCAAAACTCTTACAAAACGAACACTTCAAAATGTACAATTTTGCCTTTTAGGTGCCCTGTTACAAAATGCCCTGGTTAGGGGGCTCATTGTAAATAGAAAATGCCTATATATAAACCATTTATTCCAAAATATAAGGGAAATTTGGACGGGGGCGCTAACCCTACCTATCTACGTATCTATCTACGTATCTATCTGCGTATCTATCTTCCTATCTATCTATCTACCTATCTACCTACCTACACCTATCTGCACCTAGCTACACTCTACACCTATCTACGCCTATCCACACCTATCTACCTACCTATCTACCTATCTATCTTCCTTTCTATCTTTCTATCGGCTTCCATCGTTTCCATAAGTTTCCATATGTTCGCATACATGTTCATTTGTTTCGCTCTTTCTTTTTCATTTTTCTACTTAATTCCCGAGAGCGTCTGCGCGAAGGGTTCTTTTAACAGCGGGGGTCTGCTATACATCTTCACATGTTCACATCTTCATCACATCTTCTCATCTTCACATCTTCTCATCCTCACATTTTCACATCTTCATATCCAAACATCTGCGCATCTTCAAATCTTCACATCTTCTCGTCTTCTCGTCTTCTCATCTTTTCTCTCTCTCTCTCTCTCTTTTTCTCTTTCTTTCTCTCTCTCTCTCTCTCTATCTCTCTCTCTCTCTCTCTCTCTCTCTGCCTCTCTCCTTCTCTCTCGCTCTCTCTTCTCTCTCTCTCTCTCTCTCTCTCTCTTCTCTCTCTCTCTCTCTCACTCTCTCTCTCTCTCTGTCTCTTGCCCTCTGTCATGGTCTCTCTCCTTCTTTTTCTTTTCTCTCTTAAGGCCCGCAGGCAGTGCCAACGAGGCGATTTCGTGGCAACCTTTTCGCACGACATGAAGTTCGGGTAGCAAAAACTGTAGAAAAAAATGCGATTTTGAAGTGACGGCGGCAACCCTTTCGCACGAATGAGGTTCGAGTGTCAAAAACTGGTGTAAAATATGGTAAATTTGCGATTTTACATTGTCAGCGGCAACCCTTTCGCACGAAATGAGGTTCGAGTGTCAAAAACTGAAGGTTTTTTGCGAGCTTGGTTGGTCCGACGGCAACCTTTTCGCACGAAACGAGGTTCGAGTGTCAAACGCTGAAAGTTTTTTGCGAGCTTGGTTGGCCCGGCAGCCCTTTCGCACGAAACGAGGTTCGGGTGTCAAAAACTGACGGTTTTTTGCGAGTTTGGTTGGTCCGGCGGCAAACCTTTCGCACGAAATGAAGTTCGAGATGGTTCCAGTATAAAAAACTGATGTAAAATTGCGATTTTACGGCGTCCGCGGCAACCCTTTCGAACGAAAAGAGGTTCGAGTGTAGAAGTGGGTGTGCGCGAAAGGGTTTGTGTAAAAGCGCCTGTGTGTAAAAGCTTCTGTGTGTAAAAGCGTCTGTCTGTAAAAGCTTCTGTGCGTAAAAGCTTCTGTGTGTAAAAATCTTTTTGTGTAAACGTGATTAAACGTGTCTGTGTAAAAGCTTATGTGTGTAAAAGGGTCTGTGTGTGAAAGTGTCTGTGTGTAAAGAGCTTCTGTGTGCAAAAGTGTCTGTGTGTAAAAGCTTCCGTGTGTAAAAGCGTTTGTGCGTAAAAGCTTCTGTGTGTAAAAGCTTCTGTGTGGAAAAGCTTCTGTGCGTAAAAGTGTCTGTGTGTAAAAGCTTCCGTGTGTAAAAGCGTCTGTGTGTGAAAGCGTCTGTGTGAAAAGCTTCTGTGTGTAAAAGCGTCTGTGTGTAAAGGCGTCTGTGTGTAAAAGGTTCTGTGTGGAAAAGCTGCTGTTTTTCAAATGTCTGTAAAAGTGTCTGTGTGTGTGTGTAAAAGGTTCTGTGTGTAAAAGGTTCTGTGTAAAAGCTTCGGTGTGTAAAAGCGTCTGTGTGTAAAAGCGTCTGTGTAAAAATTCTGTATGTAAAAGGTTCTGTGTGTAAAAGCGTCTGTGTGTAAAAGGTTCTGTGTGGAAAAGCTTCTGTGTGTAAAAGAGTCTGTCTGTAAAAGTGTCTGTGTGTAGAAGGTTCTGTGTGTAAAAGCTTCGGTGTGTAAAAGCGTCTGTCTGTAAAAGCGTCTGTGTAAAAAGCTTCTGTGTGTAAAAAGCTTCTGTGTAAAAAAAGGCGTCTGTTTGTAAAAGCTTCTGTGTGTAAAAGCGTCTGTGTGTAAAAGTTTCTGTGTGTAAAAGCGTCTGTGTGTGTGAAAGTGTCTGTGTGTAAAAAGCTCCTGTGTGCAAAAGTGTCTGTGTGTAAAAGCTATAATGCAAACTATTGCCTTGTAATATATGGTCTTGATACTATTCTTCTCGTCTGCCTCAAATACATCTTTAACCGAAGGAAGTTTAGAAGCCAAACTTCCGACAATATGGAGAGATGAAAAGCAGAGCAGGGCAGAGGCAGAGAGAAGAGGAAGATTAGAAGAGAGAAGATCAGAAGAGAAAGAGTAAGAAGACAGAAGATACAGATGCGCGAAAAGGTAGGAAAGTCGCGAAACACTGTGTTTTTTCCAATGATTTGTGGCTCCGGAGGGTCGAAAAGTAGGCTCGCTAAAGCGGCGGGTGCGGAGCCAGCTGGCCAGATGAGACATGAAAAAGTGCACGCGGTTGTGGCGCGAAGCACGTTTCCAAGTCAAAATGGACAAAACAGTAGAGGAGCGGACCACTTTTGGAAGTTGAGATGTCGAAAAAGTGCACGCCGTTGTGGCGCGAAGCAGCAAACATTTTCGAGTGAAAATGTACAAAGCACAACCAGCTCCGGACCACTTTTTGGGGGGAATTTCAGATGTCAAAAGTGTACGCCGTTTGTGGCGCGAAGCACCATTTCCAAGTCAAATTTTCAAACAAAAACAACCCCGCAGCCTCCGACCCTTTATTGGAAGTTGTGATGTCGAAAAGTGCACGCCGTTGTGGCGCGAAGCAGCATCTAGTCAAAATGTACAAAAACAAACACCGACAATCTACCGGACCACTTTTGGAATTTTGTGAAGGTCGACAAAGCAAGTGCACGCCGTTGTGGCGCGAAGCACATTTCCAAGTCAAAATGTACAAAACACAGCAGGTTCGGACCACTTTTGGAAGTTGAGATGTCGAAAAAGTGCACGCCGTTGTGGCGCGAAGCACATTTCCAAGTCAAACGTGTTAAAAACTGACGGTCTCGGACCACTTTTGGAGGTTCAGATGTCGAAAAAGTGTCGAACAAGTGCACGCCGTTGTGGCGCGAAGCACATTTGGAAGTCAAAAGTGTAAAAAACTGAGGGTTTTGAGCCTTTTTTGACGTGCTGATGTCGAAAAAGTAGACACTGATTAACTTAACTAACTTGACTAACTTAAGTAACTTCACTAACTTAACTACCCTAACTTCGACGACAACAGCAACAACAACAACAACAACAACGACAACAACAAGAACAAGAACAAGAACAACAACAACAACTACAACAACTACAACTACAACTACTACAACAACTACACTACACAACAACTACAACTACACAACAACTACAGCTACAACTACAACTACAACTACACAACAACTACAACTACAAAACAACTACAGCTACAACTATATGACTGCAACTACACTACACTAATTACATTAAACCACAACTACAACTCCACTACGCTACAACTACAACTACAGTTGCAGTACATCACACTACATCCAGCAGTTGTGGGTGAGGTGACCACTGCAACCATCATTGCAACCATTCCAGCAAACACAACTCCAACCACCTTTCGGTCAATCAGTGGATTCGCTCTGCCATCCGTGATTCACAACAACCAACGTCTCCTATAGGTTTCCTATTCTGAAACTTCCGCCACCGCCTTGTGCGGTACTACTGGTATATTGTCTTGATACTAACAACAGAAGAACTTGCTCCTCTACGCTCTCGGGCCATCCGTCGTCTGGTATAAGTTTATCATAGTTTATCTATATATTCATATGTCTCTGCATATCCTATCTATTCTACCTAGTCTATGTATTCTTTCTAGTCTACTATATATATATATATATAATTATATTATCTATTCAATCCGTTCAATCTATTCATATCTATTCATATCTATTCATATCTATTCATATCTATTCATATCTATTCATATCTATTCAAATCTATATATTCATATCGATTCATATCTATTCATATCTATTCATATCTATTCTATTCTATTCTATCTGTGCTATCTATTCTTTTTATTATCTATTCAATTCTATCTACACCTGTTCTGTCTATTCTTTTCTTTTCTATATGTTCTATCTGAATTAAATACTCTGCCCATTCTATCCACTCTGTCTATATCTGTCCTGTGCCGTCTTGTCCTGTTTTGTTCTGTTCTGTTCCATTCATGCCATTCCATTGCACTCCATTCCAGTCTATTGTGTTTGATTCGATTTGCTTCGGTTTGATTCGATTCTATCTCGCTTTCTCATCTTTCTCTAGCTGTCTCCCTACCTATCTCTACTCTCTACTAGCTCTTTTCTCCCTCTCCCTCTCTCTCTCTCTCTCACAGTAAACGTCGCACCCAGCCCGGCCACGCCTACCATTTCCCCGCAGAGTGGTGTCCTCAGGATACCTGGCAAAAAGGCTCAACACGCTGCAGAACATGAACACATGCAATGAAGTGCCATGGTCAAACATGTTCAAATGTATCATGTGAAGTGCAACTGTGCAAGCTTTTGCAACACTATGCAACATGAAATGTAACAGTGGACGAGTCAACCTGACTCACCCCAATCAGGTCGCGGCACCCTGCTATTTGCATTGTTCGCCTCTCAGTGCTGTGTCACGTTTTGGTTTATTTCAAGCAAGGCTTGCACAAGTGTAGTATCGTCAGTATCGTCGCAGTTGTTGCAACCGTTGAAGGGGAACGCTGCGCGCGTCATGAGTTTCTCGGCGCAGAGGTGCTAGTTACAGTAGATCTATTTAGTATCTGTGAATATCTGAGATTCAGGCTCTTGCAGCTGTCAAAATCGGCACTGCCAAGGCCCGAACGGCATCGGGATGCCTGCGAGTATCTGAGATCAAGTACCAACTTGTTCAGCTGAAGCGCCGGTTGAAATCTGAGAGCTTCAGTTTCTTCAGAAAACATGCCAAACATGCACTTCACTACAACACTAGAAGCTTGGCGCTGCAGGATGGTGTGAAGAACATATAGAGTCGAGAGAAAGAGAGAGAGAGAGAGAGAGTATTCGCAAACTTCGATCAGTTGGGCAGCTGCAGGCAGCTGCGTGACATTCCCTTGTATCATGGCCGCATGTGTCCAGAGCCTACTGTAAAATCATGTAAAATCCTCCACACCTCATTCCGAGTTATTCCCAGTTTCTAAGCAAGGAACGTGACTTCACCAGCCAGCAACCCACATGCCCGAGGACTGATGATGCTGCAGTTTGACATAGAAGGCAGTGAGGCTCTTCTCAACAGAGTCTCTTGCCCCTCCAGGAAAATCCAAGCAATTTTCAAGGCAGGCGTGTGGTCGGCAACGTGCAGCATGCTTGCACAAACGCTCCAAGGAATAACATGCTATGCATTGCTACGCCGATACTCTCCAAACATTTCGAACCTGGATCAGCATTGCGCAATTTTACTTTTGGAGATGCATCAGCCTTGAATCTGCAAGTGAAACAAAGTTAGACAATTCGAATCGCAGTATTTGCGAGACAAACTTATTCGCAACTGAATTCATCGCGTCAAAAAGGGAGGAACACACATCAGAAAATATGAAGGGCATGCCAGCATGTCACCGGCGCATCACCCTGTGCTGAGGAGCTGACCTTGGCCTGCAAGTCGTCTCGCTTTCATGGCTCACACTAATGCCCAAAGTCTTTGGCGCCTGCCTTGTTGGCCAAGCCCACGCAGAGTTCAGCTCCGATTCTAAGCTCTCGAAGGTCCTCTCCTTGCCGCACGGTTTGGATGCAGATCGTGGCCGGGCTGGAGCTGCTGGCGCTGGTGCATCGAATCTTGGGACGGAGACCGGCGGTGACAGGAGCCGTCCAAACCGAGTCAAAGACCGACAGTCACGGGCTAAAGACCGATCTGGTAGGTGATCTGTGATGCGGTTTGATGCCACAAAATCGGGCCTCGGTATGTTGCTGAAGCTATGGCATGTAATCGTCGGCTTGATGATGTTGAGCTTCACCTCGTACTCGCCGGGATTGCTTGTGCCACCTGCGGCTGCAATTGCGTTTTGACGCGGCTGTGTCCCAAATTCAAAGCAGGGTTGACGGTAAAAACGACCAAACCGAGCGCACTTGAGATGTCCATACAGCACACCCTCAGGGTCGATTGCTTGTGGGTCATTAGGAGGCAAATTGTTCAGTAGGTCTGGCCTGGGGATCTGTTTTGCCATGTTCACGAAGGTGACCTGGCGCTTGCCCATCCATGTGGTGTCCATTCCATTCGGAGGGCCGTTTTCACTGCGGCTGCTACTCAGCAAGGCATTCTCTGAGCCCTTTGGCAGGTATGCGCCGAAGTCTAGCACCTTTGGTGTTGGATGTTTGACTTTGCCAAAGCTGGCCAAACAATCTGCTTTTGGACTGTATGAGCCCACTGGAGGTCCTTGACTGGCTTTTGCATCTCGTTTTTGAACATCCTCACGGCTTAGAGTCTTGAAAGCGCTAGATGGGCGCTTCTCATCTTGCTTCTTTCGAAGTAAGGTTCCCGGTATACGTGGTGCATCCTCAGCAAGAATCTTGTTCTGAGTTTCTTCTGAGGTGTCTGCGTTCACACGCTTCAACAGGTCCAGGAATTTGATGTCAAGTGTCAAATCATCTTCATCTTCTTCCTCTTGTAGCCTCTCTGCTAGCTGTTGCACGGAGTAGTCGAAGCAGGGATCACAGCCAACGCCAAGTTTCCGGCGCAGTGTGTTCAGTTGCACTTCCGTGGCCCTTCCTATCGCACCTCGCCAACAACGGCAGAAAAAAAACATGCTCACAAGATTCACAAGATTTCACTAACAAAAAAACAACGCACCTACCGCACCGTGTGCTGAACATCCTGCGGAAACGCATCGCATCGTTGCCTTCAATGGAAAAATGAATCGTTTCTTCCCCTGGGGCCCTTGGGGCTTAAAAAACTGCAGTGCTTTACGCTTGGGCAGGCTTGTCTGTGAAAAAGGGGAACGAATCCGCTGGTGACATTACAATCTTTACAGCGCGTGGCTATGTGACGGTAAGGCGGTTGATATCCATTGAGCCCCTTGCTGCCCCTGGGTTTCACGGCTGGGAAGTTTGTCCGGATGCGTGGACTGCAACATCTTGCAAAAAATGTTTCAGAGAGAGAGCTAAGTTTGACACTTATATAAGTATACATGTCCTTCATGTGCATGGTGTTCTACAGGGACCCGACAATGTCACGCCTAAGTTGCTCCTTTTGCTTTCCCCGCTTGCGAATGCAACATCAAGAAGTCATGCCTAAGTCATGCCTAATAAACTCAGTTTCCCCCCAATTGAACGCAAATACATACAAAAATTACATATACCCCAAACATAAGTAGATGCCTAAACTCAACCTGAACGCAAGAAAAAAACACAAAAACTGTCTAAAACATGGTTAAACTGAGATCACGAGAGTTCCCCTGTGTTTTGCAAAAAGGCACGGGCTTCCAGGGAAAGCTTCGCCGCAACTAAATATGGTAATTTCTTCAAAAAAGGCACGGATGTCTTTTGGCTGTCCTGTGCTTTTAAATGCGGCATGCCGCAGCATGCCCACCATTTTTTTCTGCGCCCTCTATCATTGGCTAGTAACCATTTCCACCAATCTTGCCAATAAAATGATATGAAATAATATTATATAATAATATTCATGTGTTGGTTCTACTCCGTATATACCCATCATATGGATTTATTTGGCCCCTGGGTCTCACAGCTGGGAAGTTGGCCCACATGTTTGGATTGCAACATTTTGCAAACATATTTCAGAGAGGGAGCTAAAGTAGAGATGTGCGCTGTCTACGTCCACCAGCCAAGGTTCAGAATTAATCAGAATTAGATAGGCATGATACGCATTATAAGTTTATTAAATAGGTCGGAACTATGGTTGACGGGATGGTTTACACGGCGCAACTGAGCCAAAATTGACATTGGGTGAATAAAGCACGTTCCCTGGACTTCAGGTTTGGAAGTATTTTGCAAGTTCAACCTCTCTGTGACTAAACGTTGCTCTCGAGAAGCTCATTGGTCTTCAAGTGTCAGCATGGTACCCTTTTTCATCCTTTTCACTTTCCTTTGAATTCTTGCCAGCATTCCTGCGCAATCTTGCATAGGCATGCATCAATTATCTATCTATATAAACTGGCTGTAATTGGTCTTCATGCTCGAATGGTCAATGAGTGACTATCGATCAAAATGATCACATTGGTTCACTTCTCATCTGAATCTTCCTTGTTGGTTCACTTCTTGTATTCCTTCCTTCCAGTGATCTTGCCCCTTTGTTCTGTAGGCGCCGGCAAGTGGTTCGGATTCACATGTGCTGGCATCATGGGGTGGTCGAGCTGATTAAAATTTAAAACACCATATTATATAGGCCCCACAACCCTGTAAATACCACCCCTTCCATCCCCTGCCCCTCAGTGGCCCCCATTGTGTGATTAAAATGAAGCCGCTGTGGCATTCCTATCTACAAAGTGAGGTCCTATAGCCCCAGCTATAACCCAGGCCGTCTACAAAATGTGAACCCTCAGGGGACCCACAGGAGGGGGGATTTCACCAGAACTGATCTACAAAATGAAGGCCCCTGCCCTCTGGCATGAATAAGAAGACACCTACAGTACATACCACCAGACCACCAGAAACTAAGATGTATATTTTGCGACCCCTGGAGGCTCTCATTTTTGTTTTTCCTTCCCACCCAAATCCGCCGGCGCGCGTCAGAAATGATAGGTCTTTACACTGTGTCAAGGGGGCAAGCGGCTGGGTGAGGGGGGGTCCTCCCACCGGGTGTCGGCGAGGAGCTGGGGGAGGAGGGGGGGTGGGCCGTCCATTGCATCTTCGCCATGCGCAGGGAAGTCCAGGAGGCTCGCTGCGAGCGCTCGCATGGCGGCAATGGATGCGAGCGCGGCCCAGCGCAGCGCCCAGGCGGCGGCTGACGTTGATCGTGCCCAGGTGGGTTCGGTGCGGGCGCGTGCTCGGGCGAGGTGCCGGACGAGGTGCACGGCTTCGGGCGACCACCGGCCTCCTACCTCCAACCCAAACACGGGGGAAGTTCGGCTTCAGAATCTTGGTAGGGGTTGATGCCGACAGTGTTGCATGCCAAAGATAGGGCGCTGTCTTCGTGCGGGGGCCAAGGCTGGCGGCACAAAGCACACACTGGGTTAGGCATGCGCGCGCGGGTGCGGGCCAAGCATGCGAGGTGGTAGGGGTGGCGGCACCCTGGCCACAACGCTTCGGAGCGGTGCGTGGCACTGTGCAGGGTGATGGGGTCGAGGCAAATGGTGCACGGGGAGGGGACATGTGTGGTCCGGGGGACGGTGGCGGGGGCAGGTGAGGGAAGAGTGGTGGTGGGTGTGGCGGGGTGTGGGGTGGGGTCGCCGTGGGGGTCGGCCATGTGGGGAAGGCGGAGCCCTGCAAAGCCTGAGCCGGAGGCCTGGTAAGGGTGGCGGCGGGCGAAGCCCGGCACGCGAGGTGAGGGCGGAGCCCTTTCGAGGGGGACCAGCAAAGTTGCCGCAGCCCAGGCACGCGATCCTTTTTGCAGGGTGCTGGGTCGCCAGTCTCTGCGCCACTGTAAACGCTGAGTGCAGCCTCCACTGCCCTCCCGATGCTCGACGTTTATTCCTTGTTCGTTGCTTTGAAAGGCTTGAATGACAATCAAACGGGTAATTGCCGTGGCTGAGGTGGAGGAAAAAAAACACTGCGGCCCGGGATCTAAAAGGCTTTCAAAAACCACAAATTGCCGGAGGCTGCAAAATGCAAACAAACGATTGCCACGTGAGTTCCACTGCGGGTGGCGCTGCCGGGCTGTAGGTTAAAAATGGCGCCCTGACGCGCTGGCTTCGTTGTGTTGTCGGGAGCCCGGAGATCCCAAAGGTGGTCGGCACGTCTCGGGCCTGTATGCTTGAAACGAAAATATGGAATGAATTCAGAAAGGGGACCACCTTCGTTGTCACTCAGAATGGGGGTGGAAATGCTACGGCTTGAAAAATCCGCTCCCCTGGTGCTGCCCGTTTCAAATGTGATGTTCAAAAAGACTTGGCGCACGCAGGGCGGGGCGGGGTCGCTACTCACTTCCGATAAGGGAGCGAAGGGGGCAGCCGGCGGGGGATGGCGGCTGTGAGGGGGACTCGGAGGGGTTGGGGTGGCCGGGGCCGCACTGCGAGTGCAGGGGGTGGGATGGGCACGTAGCCTGGCGGGGCTGCCGCTGGCAAGGGTGGACACGGCCTGTTCGGTTGTTGCCGGGCCACGGGGGCTGGGCGGCGTCGGTCGTGGGAGAGCCTGTTACGGCCTCCTTGTCCGCCGCGGCCGCGACGGCGGGTGCCAGTGCGCCGGGGGTGGGGTTGGTTGGTGGACCGCACCCGGGTAGCCTCTCGACGGGGGGGGGGGGGGGGCTGGGGGGGCGGGGCGGCTGCGCTGCGGTTGGGGTGCGCCGGGGCCGGACCCAGCGATCCGATCGAGGGCTGCTGGGGGATCTCACTTCGGCTGGGCTTGGGCTGGGGCCGGGGCGGGGGGGCGGGAGTGTCAGCTGGATGGGATCACGGCAGGGGTGGGATGGGGGTCTGTCGCCTCTGCTTGCGGCCTAGCAGGGTGTGCTGGCCCGGGCTCGCTCTCGCTGGAGGAGGCGTCACTGGGGGTGGTGGGCGGGGGCAGGGGCTGGAGTGAGCCAAATGAGCCCACTGCCTCGACAGGGACGAGCAAGTATTTCTGGTCTTGCAAGCACTTGACGCAAACCTCACCAACTCTGAGGATGGTTTCCTCCATGCGCCCCCCCGCGGAAGGAGGGAAACCGGGGGGCGCCTTGAGCCAAAATGGCTTGAGCATCAACCCTTTGGATCTCTTATGTTAACCTTGCTGGAAATGCTCTCATTTTAAAGTGGTATGCTGAAATTGCCTATGGGGTTCTCAGTTTGTAGGGAATCGTCTCTTACACTAGCTGGGAAAGGTCCTCATTTTGTACAGCTAAACAATTTGCACCTTTTCTTTCCTCAACTGCAACCGTCTGCAACCGGAATCAACCGACCACGCATGGTCAGTGATGTGCCACAGGTATTTTGCTTAAAATGATGACCTATGCCCCTTCAAGAAAAACCTGAACACCCAAAACCTAACAAAATACTGTATTTTAATATATTTAAAATGGTGGCCCATAGCCCACTATGGTTAATGCTCTTTAGGATGTCTAAAATGAAGACCCATGGGGTGTGTTCAAAATGAAAGCCTATGGCCTTTCGCTAAAACAATGCTAGCGGGATCTAGCAGGGACCTGTTTAAGATTCACTGTGTTTCAGGCCGCTGGGCGTCCTCATTTTGTACAGGAAACCTACAGGAGTGGTCCCGCCAAACTTCCGTCAGTGTGATGGGGTTGCTCAATTTCTATTTAATACAGCTCGGCGAAAGAAAAATACGTTGCTGACCATCGGAAATTTGAATACTGCAAGTGTATATCGAATCATATACAAATACAATACAAATACCGTATATAATACCATCAAATACCATCAAAATAAAATACCGAGAAGCGTGAATGTGGCCAGCTCCCTACGCCACGGGTGGGACAACAGCAGAAGCAGAGCTGCAACTCTGGACTTGTTTTGGATCTGTGGGGTCAACAAAGCCTTCAATATCTGCTCACTATAGAATACTATAGACATCGAGCTGAAAGCAAACGAATCTTCCAACCTCCATTTATGTCAAGCTACTCAAGGAAGCGTCCACAAACATATGTAGTGGTTGGAATATGTCGCAGCACCCAATCTGAAATCTTGAAATCTCCAGTCACCAGGCGTCTCTCAGCACAAAAGCAGCTCCCATGGCGATCTGGTGCAGCTGAATGCGGTGTGCATGTTTTTGCCTCACGACTTTCAACATCTTTCGATATCCGGTAGATCAGCGCGGTGGATTCTGTGGGCTACTGGATGCAATTGCTTATTTCATGTTGTTTGCACAATTCGCTGGCAGTTGCAAACGCAAAATACGCAAAATAGCGCAAAAAACACAAAATATGTAATATGCCTATATCACAAGATTGGCGTTTCTATGCGCTGCTCACACGTTTAACGACCTATGCCTAGTGGCCTAGGGCCTGGTACGTACTCTTACCCTTCTTCATCGGTTTGCAAATCAAGACCGATGCAACTAATATCACACAAACAGGTACAGCCATAATATGCATCCATATGCGCTGACAAACCACACGCCGGATCACGCCGGGACATCTGCACACCTTTCTTTCGGCGTGAATGCAGCACATGTTCAAATAATACGGTAAGTATAAATTATGAAATATAAATGTATAAATCCTAATACATATTAATACATCCTAATACATCTTAATACCATCCGCCTGCCATATAGTGAATGCATTTTGACATCAGCCGTCAACATCTCCAGATGGATGGAGCCTGATCCCTTTGTGGATGCTTCGATGGAAACCAGGTGACTCCCTTTGTCCATCTATGTATATAGTGTATATATATATACACATCTATGTTATATATATATATATTATATATATATATATCTAGTTATATATATATATATCTGTGCACATACCAGAAAAGCTCATGAGTCACAGGCAGCGAAAGAGGCAAACATGGCCAAAGGACGGGGGCCGCTAATTCTTGACATCTGTTGACAATCTGCCCAGGAGCAAAGTAGAAAATACACAGTTGGAAGCTACACAGCTACAAAAACATTCCGCTTTATGGCGTACATTATCCTGCCAAATGTCCTGTTGGCTGCTTTTTGACCATGCAAGAATTTTGCAAGCCTTGCATTTGCAAGCCTTGTCATCTTTTGGTGAGATTAAATCTTACGCCGTAGGTAGCACAATCAAGTCGCCTATGTGGCTGAAATCCTTACATGGATCCAAACGATCGACAGTCCCTGGACAAAAACATGCTTCGTAGAGTCCAGCGGTCATGATGGTAGCGTTTGCCCATGCTTCAGTCCCGTCTTCAGACACAGTAAGCTGCAATTGTACCCCGGCCTCATGCTGGTATGGCCTCTCATGTGCCTTGAAGCACTGCAAACCGACACCAGATGGAATGATGTGCATGCGGTCAAAAGTGCTCAGCATGAGGCCATCGATCTGCAAAAGGAACGGCGTTCCTGCAGCCATTTCTGTTTGTGAAAGGGGCAGAGCACCTCTCACCACAATAGACCCTGCATTCACTGCAAAATCTGCGTCTTCTTTGCACGCATGGTGCCCGGGACACCAGCATACCTTGAAAACTCCGCCCACTTGAATGGTTACATTCTCCCACACGCCTACTGACATGGCGACCCTGCCACGCACTTGAACTCCTCCGTCCGAGTCTTCTGGATCTTCTATTAGCCCATCGGAGAAGTCTGTACTATTTTCAGGAGCTGCATCATCTGGATCTACCAAATTCGGACTGCTGGTGCTGCTTTCCGTGCTGCTATCATGTTCGCTCTCTCTCAAGCCATCCGAAGTGTCTGTACTGGAGTTGGGTTCCTCATGGTCAATCAAAATATCTCGGACCTCCCTTGCCAGACTTGAACCAAAACTCACGTATTGAGAATTGTTAGAAGCACTATCGCTTCCGCATGCAGAAGAGTTGTCCAGAATTCGAATTTCATCTGTGTCCAACAGAACAACACCAAAAAGCTGGAGCCGGAAAAACATCCCAGCAACAGCAGGAGGATGCACTTGTAACTCTGTGGGCCCTCGGAGGGTGAGCATGCCAACTGGAATGCCGCTGGAAATTGGAGAGCCTGGAAAGCCTTCAGCCAGTCTCTCTGGACTGATTGGATACCAGCAAAGCATAAAATGTCCAGGATCCGCATCTGCAGGAATGATTCCAAAAGAATAGTCCATTGTCCAGGAGAACTCCTTTCTTGTCACTTGCAGAGTTACCGCAGAGATGCGACGACCTTCCATAATGGTCTGCGCACACGATGTCCCGGCACGCAGCAATGAAGGAGAGGTGCTCAAAGCGTACTCCTCCACCCTAAGGTTACATGTTTGCCCAGGTGAACAAGTGAAATTTTGATCGAGCCTGGCTGGCCCAAGGAATTCAAGAGTGCCAACTTCCACAATATTTCCAGGGAAATCTGACCAACAAATCTTGGTGAATGACGGTCCGACTACAGCCATCTGTATGGCGCCCAAGTTGTACAAGGAAAAGTTGCCAGCTCCTAAGACAGGTTGAGCTGGCATCTGACTCAACCCATTCAGAGACAAAAATATGGGAAGCTCGCATGTGTCGTTACTAATGAAGAGTGAGCTCTGAATGCTTAGCCCAGCCCCCTCAATTTGCAATATGCATTCTTGCGTCAGTATGCACAGGTAGTCCTTCTGGAAGGGGCCAATGTAAATCAAAGACCCCAAATAGACTTGATGCTCGTCCAATGTGAGCCCACGGCCCCAGCAAACAGAGTAATTTAATACTTCAGCAGGTCTTTGGATAGAGTACACTGCTTCGCTGGAATTGTCCAATGATTGCGGCAAGAACCTGGCAGCAGTTCTGGCGTTGGTCCAAAGAACTTCCTCCAGGCCATAATTCAAACTTGCCCTTGCCATCAGGTTATCCAATTCAAAGAAGTGCTGGGGACTCATTGGTGGCCAAGAAATACGTGGCGGCGGCACAGCAAATCCGTTCCCTCCAGATGCAGCTGCTCGCAAGCAGCCTAAGAGTTTCCCCGAATAGCTGTCAAACGAGTCAGCTGCATGATAGTGGTAAAATGGTAAGTCATCAGTGTGGCCTCCGCAAGAATCCAAACTAAAGTTGCTAAGGTTTGATAGAGGTGCGAAGAGGGGCACACCGTCCATCATGAATCCAAGCATTGGCTCATGAGATGAATTCAGAGCACCGAAGATACCGAAGTCCAAAGCCCAAGACTTGACCACTTCACATGGGCCATCGCTCCAACGACCACCAGGGGTCAACGCATATTCAGCCATTGCCTGCTTTATCACGAGTCCGCATTGGCTTTGCTCCCACAAAGTTTTGCTAGCAGGCGCTCCAGAAATGGCCAGTCCGTCCAAGGCCACGCCTGCAATCCCATTTGGAAGAGGCAAGAAGGAATACTCCATCACTTGAGCAACTCTCGGAAAAGAGTAGGAGCGAAGCAGTGCCTTTGGTTTGGCCATCCCAAACTCTTCATAGCCTCCGCGGGGGCAGGTGGTAGATACAATCAAACGCTGGTTGGCAACAAGCTCTGCCTTCAGATAACTGTCAGAACCCGTGATTGAGCAATCTGGCGCACCCTCCATGTCGAAGGGTGGCAAATCAGGCCACTCACAGCTGCTGCCGGCATGTACCACCACCGAGTCAAGAGCAGACAACCCTAGACCATAAAGAGTCACAAAGCATGGGAGGCCAAGCGTGCACTGGACAACACCCAGACTTTCAGGTGCCAGCAGTGACAAAACTCCGACAAAAATAGGAAAGCTCGAAGCTGGCAATGGGCTGTCAGCTCCACCATTCAAACCATCGCCGAAGGTTCGCCCCCAGCACACATCATACCTGCCGGATCCTGTCCCAAAGCTTCCAAAGGAAACCATCAGCTGCAACTCTTGTTCCCTGGCACGGTCACAACATTGCGATGGATTCGAAAGGCCTTCCTTTTCAATGGCAGTGGAGGCATTGCAACCTGACCCTTGCGGAAGGAGTAGGAAACTACTCCGGTGTGGCCAAGGAGATGCATCTCTTCCAGGTATCTTCCACTGGGTAAGTGGGCTACGAAAGAAATCGGTACCGCGCAATGTGCCAGCTTCGGCAGTGAGCATTTTGGATGGACACGGAGCGTTGCTTGGTGTCAAAATCCAGTACTCAGGGCTACTGGCACCGTTCGAAAGCTCTATCCATGATTTCGACATGTCATTTCCTTCCCACTGGGTTGCAACGACACTGCAGTCAACAGGGTGTAAATGTAGCGCATAGTTTGGGCAAGCTTGCAATTTTCCAGAGACAAAGTATACCACCCCTTTCTCTGCTCCGGGAATTCTTTCCCATGTGTGAGTGAGATCGCCACCATGGCGCCCCCAGACAGGTTCACATTTGGTGCTGAGAAAGATCGAGAAATTTGGTAAATACTGACCTGTCCCAGTTACCAACCAATACTCCCGCCACAAAGGACTGGCGAAACCCAAGATGTTCGGCTCACAAGGCCTTCCACTGTCACAGGCCAAGTCCTCATAAGGGAAAGCGGAACATACATAATTAAAACACAATGTGGAACACATGGCAACCCTCCCTCCAAAACCCATAAAGCGGCAAGCGTCGACAATACCAACAGAAACATCCGAACCCGGGCCAGCAACCCAAATAACAAAATCGTTAATTAACTGGTGCAAGGAAGGACCCATATAGGACATTATAGGACCATTGAACCACAGGACAGTCCACAGGAGAACCATGTAGAGCGCGATTGTACCGCACATACGTCGCAAGTTTGATCGAACTGCGAGTGATTGACGTCTGATCGCTCACTTCGTGAAAAGGGATCGTCCGCAGTTTGCTTGTGGGTTATGTGGATTGTGTGTGTGTGCGTGCAGTTTGTGGTCGCGAACACGGTCAAATGGGGGTTAAGGGCCCAGAAAGTCAAAATGACTGCCAGGATAAACAAAACAAAAAAACGAAGAGTTGACCTGCAGCGACTGAAGGGGCATCTAAATAATGGAAATATATCTCCCCTACCTCAATTACCCCCCCTTCGCCCCCTCCAAAATAATTTCCAAAATTATTGTCCGGGGGTTGATAGTGTCTTCGATAGTTATACATAGTTATACGATGAAACCTTCTTGAGGGTAAAATAATTACCCACGTTGGACCCCCCTCCCCCCCATCTGGCGGGGGAGACCTTCCTCAAAATTATTTCAGCCCCCGGAGGGTTAACTATTTTACCCCCCCCGGACTATACTGTATAGTCTAATCTTTACATATGTATACGTTGGGACCCCCCCCACCCGACATGATCGCCTTCGCCAGTGCACCGGGGACATTCCATCCCTTCAATATTTTTCCGGGGGACATACCATCCCTTCAATACTAAAAAAAAATGTTGAATAATTTTCCTAAGCAGTGGGTGTACGGATGTGCATGTTGGAATATGCGAGTTATATCACCCCTATCTTAGTTCCCCCTCCCCCCTTAAAATAGTAAAGTATAGTAAAGTATAATTATTTCAAAGGGGTTTGACGTACCTTCGACTCATCGACTTGACGTGGAAACAGTTGGAAATAATTTCCTTTAGCCCCCCTCCCTCAAGATGCCTTTCCCCAGTGGTTCCCTAGAATGATATTATTTCAAAATTATTTTGATCCCCTTTCACATAATTATTTTGCAGGAGGTGCCACATGTCCAGTTTCAGCAACAAGTGTTCTCCACCCCCCCTTCCACTCCAACTCAATGTTTAAAACATGTTTTGAAATATGAGGGATGCCTTCACCCGTATCAAAAAATCTAGCGACAAAAGGGAATGCGTAGCATTGCGTAGCCTACCGAGACAGAATTATTGAAGAAAATCACAAAGTACATCATCAGGAAATCCTGATCAATGTTGGTTTTGCAAAGGCGTTTTACTAGTTTTAGGTATGTTTTGTTGTTTTTTTGGATCGATGCGTTGCAAATCCGGAAGCGCAAATAAATTCAAAAATCATGTTTCATGTGTGTTCCCTCCTAGTGATCTCAGAATCTCCCTTCAATTTAAATTGCACCAAGAACGCATCAAAATTTGCAACCTGCAACCAAAAAATGTTCTTTGAGAAATTATTTTAGGGGTATTGGAGATGCCCTGTTCACTCCTCAAAAATCAAAATGGGCAGCTGCCAGGACCATCCAACTTGCCCAGAAGCTGGAAACAAATTCAAAAACACAAAAAAACCGAATGCTTACTATCGTTCCCTGGAGGCAAACGAAAGGAATATGGGCGAAATATGGCGAAATAACGGAAATATGAAAGGTTAGGAAAACCACTACAGGAAAGAACCAGGTTGAATACTATTTCGTGGGATTTCTCAAGGGGAGAAATTAATCCAAGGGCATTGGAGATGCCCTGCACTTCTCAAAAAACAGCTGCCAGAACGACCCAACTCGCCCAGAGGCTGGAAAAAAACTCAAAAACTCAAAAACCTATAAAAACCGAATGCTTACCATCGAGAGTTCTTTGGAGGCAAGTGAAAGGAATATGGGAGAAATAAAGGAAAATATGAATGGTTAGGAAAACCGCTACAGGAAAGAGCCAGGTTGAATACTATTTTGTGGGATTTCTCAAGGGGAGAAATTAATCTAGGGGTATTGGAGATGCCCTGCACTTTCCAAAAAACAGCTGCCAGAACGACCCAACTCGCCCAGAGGCTGGAAAAAAAATAAAAAAACTGTAAAACCCGAATGCTTGCCCTTTCCCACTCATTCCCACCGTTTTTTTGAAGGGAATATGGGAGAAATAGGGAGAAATATGAAAAAAATAACAATATGTAGGCTATATTCAATGATGAAGATAATTGTTGAACACCATTTTGCGGGAATTCCCAAGGAGAGAAGGTCTTACAGGTGTTTTTTTTGTCTGACCACTTGAAATTTATATATTCGAAATTATTTCAAAACTATATTGACGGATTAATTAGATTATGACTCGCATATTCCAACATGCACATCCGTAGACCCACCCCTTAGGAAAATTATTCAACAAATTTTATTCTTATTCCAGAACCTGGTTGATATCCCCGTGTATTTTTTAAAGAGATGGAATATCCCGAAAAATTATTTCAAAACAATCTCCACCTACACGCTGAAAATTATTTTACCGGGGCCTGGACCCCGTCGGAATAATTCCCAGTGAAAAATTGTTTTGGTGCAAGCTTGACCCTATCTTGAACCTCTTGGAAATCGCTAAATATCCAAAATTATTTTGGTAAAAATATTTTGGTACGTAACCCCCCCGAAATAATATTGCAAAGGTAGCAGTGATCGAGTTATAGTCTAGTCTAACCCTTCAATATACCCTGGAATAACTAGGTTTTGAAAGATTTTTATAAATTTTAAGTGGCTGAAAAAACTGGAGGAACTTTCTCCCCCTGGGTATTCCCGCAATATGAAAATATTATGTAAGTACATTAAGACAAATATATATATATATAAATAAATACATAAATGTATATATGTGTGTGCGCGTATATATATATATTATGCGTATTGTAAATATAATATACGTAGCAGTAGTGCCGCACAAGGCGGTGGCGGAAGTTTCAGAATAGGAATCCTATAGGAGAGTTTGGTTGTTGTGAATCAGGGATGGCAGGGCGAATCCACTGATGGACTGAAAGGTGGTTGGAACTTTTTGGAGTGGTTGCAATGGTTGCAGTGGTCACCTGGCCGGTCACCTCACCCACAACTGCTGGATGGAGTAGTGTGGTGCAGCTGTAGTTGCGGTTGTAGCGTAAAAGTGTAGCGCAGTTGCAGCTGCATTTGCGGTGGTGTAATGAGTGTAGTGCAATGTAATGTAGGGTGGTGAAGTGTAGTCTAGCGTAATGCAATGTAGTAGTAGTTGTAGCTGTAGTTGTGGTTAGTGTAGTGTGGTGTGGTGTAGTTGTAGTTGTAGATGTAGTTAGTGTAGTGTTGTGTAGTGTAGTGTAATGTAGTGTAGTGTAATGTAGTGTAGTGTAACTGACTGCAGTGTAGCGTAGTGGAGTGTAGCGTAGTGTAGTGTAAGTGAGTGTAGTGTAGTGTAGTGTAGTGTAGTGTCGTGTAGCGTAGCATAGTGTAGCGTAATTGAGTTTAACGTAGTGTAGTTGCAGTTGTACTTGTAGTTGTAGTGTGCGGTGTAGTGTAATGTAGTGTAATGTAGCGTAGTTGTAGTTTAGTTGTAGTGTTGCGTAGTTTCGTGTAATCGAGTGCAGTGAAGCGGAGTGGAGTGTAGTGTAGTGTAGTTAGTGTATTGTAGTGTAATGTAGTGTAGTTGTAGTTGTAGTTGTATTGGAGTGTAGTGTAGCGTAATGTCGTATAATGTAGTGGCGGTTGTAGTGAAAACCCTCACGTTTTGCTCACCTTTGGCAAGGTGCAGAACCCCTTGTGCCTGCCACGCAAAACGACATCCGAACGTCCAAAAGTGCTCCGAACACCTCAGTTTTTTCCACTTTTGACATCTTTTGACTTCGAAACGTGCTTTGCCCCACAACGGCGTGCACTTTTTCGACATCTCAACTTCCAAAAGTGCTCCGACACTGAATTTTTTTTGTGCATTCTGACTTGGAAATGTGCTTCGCGCCACAACGGCGTGCACTTTTTCGACATCGCAACTTCCAAAAGTGGTCCGAGCATGGTGTGTTTTTGTACATTTTGACTTCGAAATGGGTTTCGCTTCGCGCCACAACGGCGTGCTCTCTTCTCTGATCTTCTCTCTTCTTCTCTTCTCTTCTCTGACTCTTCCCACCTTTGCTTTTCGATCTGCCCATGTTGTTGGGAGTTTGACTTCTAAACTTCCTTGGATCATTTTGTATTATCCGGTGACCTTACACAGCGGACTTCAATGGACTTGCAACCTCTTGAAGTCAAAGAGCAAGGCATCAGGGAAACAACAGGAGGAGGCTCAGCAAAGAAGCTCAAAACGACATCAAAATGTCCTCACGGATATCATCGGAATTCAACTGCGTACCAGTAGTAGCGCACAAGGCGGTGGCGGAAGTTTCAAAAATAGGAAACCTATAGGAGAGCTTGGTTGTTGTGAATCACGAATGGCAGAGCGAATCCACTGATGGACCGAAAGGTGGTTGGAGTTGTGTTTTTTGAAGTGGCTGCAATGGTTGCAGTGGTCACCTCTTCCTTAACTGCTTGATGTAGTGTGGCGTGGTGTTGCGCAGTTGTAGTTGTACCTGTAGTGTAGGGTAGTGTAATTAGTATGTGTGTTGTTGTAGTTGCAGTTGCAGTTGTAGTTGTGGTGTGGTGTAATTATTGTAGCGCAATGTAGTGTAGTGTAGTGTAGTGTAGTGTACTGTAGTATAGTGTGGTGTAGCCTAGTGTAGTGTAGTGTAAAGTAGCGTAGTTGTAGTTGTAGCTGCCGTTGTAGTTGTAGTGTAGCGCAGTGTACTTAGTGTAGTGTACCGTGGGGTAGTTGCAGTTGTAGCTGTAGAGTTGTGTAATGCGTCGTAGTTGTAGTGTAGTTGTATATTGTAGCTGCAGTGTATTTGTAGTGTAG